TTCTTAAGGATGCTGTCATTGTGGTACTTCCAGAACTGCTTCGAGGCGTCCTTTCCGGCGACGCGTTGGAGGACTTGCGACTGTCAGCTTCGCGAATCATGTTTGTGCATTGAGGTTGGACATACTCTTCTTGCCTCCTGGGTGCTCCTCCTGGAAGTTCGTGAGATCATAGACATCCTCATCTACGATGATCCACAGATCGCTCGCTGTCTTGTGCGACGCGACATCAGCGGTTGAGAAGCGTTTCGACATGTTGCTAAGTGTCAACACGTAAGAGGGGTAGATGTGAGTAAGGAGAGCAGAGTGATGAGGTGTCGCTAATCACAGGACAGCCCTTACTGACTTATAAGAGGCTTAGCAAGTTTCGGGACGTCTTCACATGCCAGGAACTACTCCACGCCAAGGCAATCCGGGGAACCCGCCAGCTGCTGAAAGTCGGCCGCACATAGCGCGTTCTGGAGTGCAGTAAGCCGCTGTCTGATGATCTCGTGCGTTGGAATGCGAGCGCTGCAATTGGTTGTTGCCGTCACGGACCGGGTGACTTGCTGTTTGGAGCTTCACGTCATACGCGCAAATGCCGAGGTATGCCGCATTGGGACGCTCACGTGTCGACATGTCAGTCTTCACATGCCGAACGGAAGAGGCTGACATTCAGATGCTCAGCGAGCCGTCGCATGGATTACTCTGACGCCTAGTCAAACGCAGGGCATGCCCCAGGTCGACGAGCGAGGAGTCCCGACGAAGCTATGGCGCGTCCTTCCAACGCGTTTCGTGGGGTCTCCGCATCACGACCGCGTCATTCTTCGCCGGGCGCCTTCAAGAACTCGATGCGCATTCAAGTTCAGCCATGAAGACAACTTCTCACCCCCTATTCATGACTCAAGGCATTTATATTACACGATGTCTCGACAAGTCCAGGTAAAGAAGGGGTCTGAGATCCAAGCCCCAGATGGCCCCCAAACTGATGGCATGATTCGCATGCCCGCGATCGTAGACATGTCGGACCAGATCTGTGGAACTGGTAGGGTTGACATTGTCACTAACATTTCGACTACTGACGATGACAGTAATGATCGCAAAACCTCATACAGCTTCGGCGATCCACCACCACGGCGATGAGGGTACGTCCTGCATTGCACCCGTGTTCTCCTTCCTCCGCGCTCGAGCGATTTTGTAATATTGTACGAGTGGTACCTGACATCTTGGCAGACACCATCGTGTACGCCGCGAGGGGTCATGGCGCCCTAGTCAGCGGAACGAACGGCAGCAAAAGACAAGAGCTAGCACCAGGGGATTTTGCACTTATACCAGCGTATGCAGAGCATCAAGAGGTCAACGACAGCGATGAGGATGTTGTTTGGATCATCACACGGGGTGGCAGAAACCCTGTTGTTCAGAACCTCGAGGCTTGGTCAAAAGACTGAGATGTTTGCCAGCGCTGCCCTGTCAAGAACCCCTCTTCGGGCACGAACACACAGATCCGTTACCGTTGCGGGACCGAAGTATATGTCCTGATGCATCCTGTCATCCCGTATGTTGATTAGTCGCATTCGGCCCATCTATGTCGAATGATAACGATGAAATTGACCATCTGCCACTCGATATCACAGCAGAACGGGAACTTTGCATCATCTACAAGGCTTTCAAGCGTACAACTACGTCAGACATGCCTGTTTGTCTAAGCGGTGCTGCAGGTGTCGATAACACATTTGCGACTTGTCGCTCACATGTCGGGATCATGGGCTCTCATTGGTCAGCAGGCCCTCTCGTTACAGCGCCCCAACATTCATGGTACAGCATACATTGCCTGGTAGATGGCAAGATGCATACCTTATATTCGAGTTTTAGCCGCCCTCAGTCCTGTTCTTTCACTACTCTCATCGTCTCAGCCCCCTATATTGCTTGACCCGTCCGGACCGCTCGGCACCCACGGCACCCACGGCACGTGTTAGCCACAGTTGAGCCACACTAAAGACTGCGCCATACGTCCACGCAAAGGCAGTAATAATTCATTGGAATTCAGACTCCCTATGATACGCGTCGTAGAGCACTGATTTGGCGGTACCGAGAACGTTGGTCTGGTGGTGACCCATACTTAGCAATACACCGAGCGCCACACTCTCGCGTACTGTTTACTTCTACGTTTGAAGCACCACCTTTACCTTTTGTTTTGGCATATTCTACTTTGCGACTGCAGAGATGTCGTCTCCTACGAGGTCGTCTTTCTTCACAGGCATTTGTACTTTTTCCATATTATTCTCAACCATGTCTGTGCAGGCACAACTGGATTACAGCAAACATGTCAATGTCTTGTAAGTAGCAAGTTTCATGCTATCTGTACTGCACTCACAGCTATCAGTCAAGGAACCCAGGGCGGAGGAAATAGATTTCCTGGGGTCGTGGCCGCACCCTTCGCAATGGTCAAGCTTGGACCAGACGTTCAATTTATGAATACCGACGCGTATTCTGGGTACCTCCCCGAGGGCAACATTTTCGGCTTCAGTATGATGCACGAGTCTGGCACAGGAGGAGCGCCAAAGTACGGCGTCGTAAGTCAGATGCCAGTGGTCGGTGAGGTGCCGGACCCCCTTGCAGATCTGTCTCAACCACGAGCATCACCAGATCAAGGGAGTCTTGGTTACTACAAGAGTTCGCTGGCAAATGGGATCACAGTAGAACTAGGTGCGACCGAACATGCCGGGCTTTACACTTACTCTTTTCCAAACGGCACAGCGTCGTCTATTGTAGTCGATGTCTCGCACGTACTTCCCAGTTTCAGGGGCCTTGGGTGGGAGCAACACTACTCGGGTGGTAGCTTCAGTATCGAAGAAGATGGGCACTATGAAGGATCTGGTATCTATAACAACGGCTGGAACCTATCACCAGATTGGACGATCTATTTCTGCGGCAAGTTCAACAAGCAACCCTTACGAGCGAGGGCTTTCAGAGCGGAGTCCAATGTATCAGACGCCTCGGTATCAGGAAGTGCCCGTCTTGGCGGTGTCTTCACATTCATCTCACCGAAAGTAACATCCCGTGTCGGCATCTCCTTTCTCTCTACCTCTCAGGCTTGTTCAAACCTAGAAGAAATCTCCCCAGACACCTCACTCACCACCCTCGTCTCCGCCGCAAAGAACAGATGGAACACCGAAATCCTCAGCAAAATCCAAACCTCCTCCTTCGACGCCTCCGATCTCTCCCTCATCTACAGCAGCCTCTACGGCGCCTTCCTCATCCCCTCGAACCGAACCGGCGAGAACCCATCTTGGAACTCCACCGAACCCTACTACGACGACATCTTCACCTTCTGGGACACGCACCGCTGCCACACCTCCCTATTCCACATCCTGCAACCCACCGCCTACGAAGAGTTCCTCCGCTCTCTAATCGACATCTGGCGCCACGACGGCTTCCTACCCGACGCACGCTCTTCAAACTACAACGGCCGCGTACAAGGCGGTTCAAACGCCGACAACGTGCTCGCAGATGCCTACATCAAAGGTGTCCGGGGCGCCATAAACTGGGACGATGGTTTGGCCGCTATGCGCACCGATGCTGAAGTCGTTCCACCCAACAACTTCGACCCTCAAGCCCCTGATTCCTCGACTAAAGAAGGACGGGGCGCACTTCCAGATTGGCTCGAGTACGGATACATAACACCGCGTTTCACCCGCGCCGTATCGCGTGCCGTGGAATACTCAACCAACGACTACGCAGTCCACGTCGTCGCCGCCGGCCTGGGTAAAACATCCGAAGCAGAAACCTATCTAAACCGCTCCCGTAACTGGCGTAACCAGTGGAACCCGAATGCTTCCTCCTACAACCACACCGGTTTCCTCGTCCCGCGCCTCGCAAACGGCGATTTCGTACGACAAGACCCCGCCGACTGTGGCGGCTGCTACTGGCCCGACGCGTACTATGAAGACAATAGTTGGATCTACAGTATGAACGCTATTCACGACGTCGCTGAGTTGATAAAGAAAGTAGGCGGCGATGGGAGGTTTGTAGATCGGTTGAACAAGATCTTCGATTTGGGCTTCTTTGACGCCGGGAACGAACCTAGTTTTACTACGCCGTATCTTTATAATTTCGTCAAGGGCGAGCAATGGAGGAGTGTAGAGCGGAGCAGGGGTGTTTCGGACTTGTACAATGCGGGGGTAATGGGATTGCCAGGGAATTCTGATGCCGGAGCTATGGAGGCGAATTTGCTCGTAAGTCATCTTCTCAGTCTTATTTTGATGATTTCTGGAAACGATGGCTAACAGTGCGTGTAGTGGCAGATGATCGGTCTCTATCCGGTGACGGGTCAGACTACTTTTCTCATTCTCTCCCCATGGTTCTCGGAGCTTACGCTTGATCTTGGGAACGGGAAGAGACTTACTGTTACGACTGCTTTCAGTGATGGCGGCGATCGGAATACCGCGCCATATGTGCAGAGTCTGAAGGTCAATGGCGAGACTTGGGACAAGGCATGGGTGGCTTGGGAAGATGTCTTTGAGAACGGAGGCACTATGGAGTATGTGATGGGAAGTAGTCCCAGTCACTGGGCGACAGGAGATCTACCACCTAGTCCAGCTTCGGAATAGAACAATGATATCAGTCATGTTTACGTCAGCAGCATGTGTGTAATTGCTGGTTTCACTGACAAAGAAGCTTGATGTTGTAGTGTTGAGAATAATATTACTCAAAAGACGGTGGTGGGCCATCAGTATGCTATCAACACCCGTCACTGTCGCAACCAGAGCATACAGAGAAAATTTACATTTCGATCCAAGCAGTCGTAATCTGGTAGTCCATAAGTCTGCAATGCAGCATGCCACGGTACGCCGACGCCTGTCAATGCGCAAACAAATAAAGTGAAGTAAAGTAAAGAGATGAGAATATCGAAAAAGCTGCGTGGTGTCTTTGAAAAGAAGCAAGTAGCGTTGTGGCGTGGGACTGGTCGATAAGATCTAGGTGACCAAGACGGATTTCCAAACGACAGCCGGACACAAATGTTGCTACGGCGGCGGTGGCGTCTCCTCAGGATGCACGTAATCGAGATGATGTCCAGTGGAGAAATAACCAACGTGATCGGACATGATCCGAGGAAGAGTTGATTCCCACAAGGCCCGCTGTTCTTCGAGTTTCTCTTTTCGTCTCTCTGCATCCGCGGTCCCCGCGTCAGTCTGTAGTCTACGTTGCGAAAGCAGTGGTGCGCTACGGCTCGTAGGTAGCGTTGGGGAGTGGCTCCACTCGTTTGCCCACGTATTCGCTCTTTTGTGCCCATGTTTCCGTGGGATTGTTGTGGCAGCACCATCGTCTTGGCTGCCCAGCTGTTCTAGTCCAGGCCTCCTCCGTACGCGTCGCAGTCTCTGGGATAGACCTCGTCTCATCGATTCGCCCGTTGTCTCCACAGCATCCGAGGGCTCCTGGACATCTTCCTCGTATTGTATCGTTGCCGTCTTCGCGATGATCGGAGATCCAGGGGAGGGAATGTCTTGGACATCCTACACCAAAGTACAAGATTAGTAACTTTGAGGTGCGTAGTGTGCGGGCTACAAGCCAAAGTTAGTCCTGCTATGAATGCAATAGATAGCCCTGAATTAAACAAGAATTCAGTAAGCTCAGTTGCGATACGTACTGGTGAGTTAAGCATGCTTTGACGCTTGTTCCTGCTCTTCTTGATGTGGCTCTTGAGCGCGCTCGAATCGAGTGGTTTGAGAAGTTCGAAACTGCAAAGCAGTTCTCCCGAAACCGACATAACGGCGCCCCAGTTGTCGAATTCGCCGCAGTACTGGGTAGTGTTAGCATGAGTGTGACTATGGGGTATATGACATTGCTTACGTTTGGAGCTGAAAACACAGTAACCAACACTCGATCAGTGAAGAACTCGTAGCCATCCTCCACCACCATGTGTGCTCTGCAAACAAGGTCGAAGTCATGCCTTGCGAGGAACTCCATGATGACCTTCTTTCCAAAACAATAACTAACGCCTCTTTCGTTAGACTCCCAGTCGTTCTCCATATCCGCAGGATCGCTCCACAAGAGGTCGTTCAGCAAGCCATAGTCGGGTACATCGGTAGGTCGCGCGATTTGCCTAATATCATCCATATGCGACAAGCTTGGAGACAGCCCACCGTGAACACAGAAAATCTTCTGCGCAACAATAGCTGCAATCGGGAGTGTGTTGAATGTATCCACGAAAGCCTTCCAGACTTTGATATTGCATCTCCTCTTGCATTCATCGTAGAAGCCGTATACACGTGTAACGTTGGCGCATTCGTGGTTGCCGCGGAGGAGGAAGAAGTTCTCGGGGAACTTGAGCTTGTAGCAGAGCAAGAGTAGGATAGTTTCCAGGCTCTGTTTGCCGCGGTCTACGTAGTCGCCGAGGAATAGGTAGTTCGAATTGGGAGGAAATCCGCACATCTCGAACATGCGGATCAAATCGGTATATTGGCCATGGATGTCGCCAACAATCTTGACAGGGGGAGCGAGCTCGAGCAGTGCGGGCTGACTTAGGAAGACTTCGCGGGCAGCAGAGCAGATGGCGAAGATTTCAGCGTTCTTCAAGCTGACCGTCTTGGTGACTTTTCCAGCATAAGCTGCATCCAAGAGTCGCTGGATCATGTCGTCAAGGTCCATGGTCTTGAGCGCGGTGAGCTCCATGGGGGAGCCTGAACCATCGGTGGGCGCGGGGGGCTCTGGAAGCCTGGGGATGGGCTGGTCTTTCTTCTGTAGAATTGACTCTCCCGGCTGAGCAGAGGCCAAGGGCTGTGCTGCTCCCGTCGGCGGAACGTCCGAGACGTGGTCGACTTCGCCGGTTTTCTGTGCCTTGCTCACTCCTTCATGTCCCGTTCCGAGTGTTGCGCCGTGAACAGGTGAGGGCGGCGCTTGCGGTTCGTCTTGGTCTGATTCAGCCTTATCAGCGGCTTCCGGAGTTACTTCTGCGGGAGCGGTCGCTGAAGCCGAAGCGACCGAGCCCCGTCGCGAGCCTTTTGATTTGGTGGAAGCTACATCTGACTTGTCAGCTTTTCCGTTGGGGTCGTTGAGGGCGGCAATAGAGTTCCGTGGGCTGTCGGATTTGCCAGTGCCGGGGATCTTGTTGCGCAATGAGTTGCGAAGGGAGCGGGTAGAGTCTTTGGTGTCGGATCGCTCGAAAGAGCGGTAGTACTCGCGACCGAGAGGTACGCCGTCGGCACCGCCCTTCTCGCCCTTCTTGTCCTTGCCGCTCGACTGCTGGTTACCCATGATGGGGGTTGCGGACTAAGCGAGCGTGTGGAGAGGAGTATGGGGTGTGTGTATGTCTGGTGAGAGCAGTGGTGTCCTGTCTCACAGCCTGGGGAAGCGGCGGCGGCGGGTTGGGTTGGAAAGTGAAAGCACGAGCCGATGGTAGCCCTGGCGGCTTCCCAGGATGTCTCGGAGCGATGACGCCACGTGCAAACACGCTCTCAGGTGATGTGTGAGGAAGTAGGTAGGCAGCGCGCAGAGACGGTGTTAGGGCGGCCGGTAGAGGCGGGCGAGAAAAGCAAGGAAGCGTGCCTCCGTCGGCGCTGTCGTTATCTGCCTCGGAGACTGGCAGGCGAGGCTGGGCGAGGCGACGGGGGAGCGATCGTCTTCCAGCGTGCGCGCCAGATCGATGGTATGCGGGCTGTGAGCGGGTCGGGCAGGCTCACGGTGTGCGGGCAGTGCTGATGCGTCTGCGTGCGGGCGTCGTCGTGGCAGCGGTGATATCAACTTCTACGCGAGCAGAGCGGGGATTTAGTTGCGATGTCAGCCGCAAACCTTAGTTGGACCAGGGCATGGGCAGTGACGCTGGTGGGCGAGCTGGCGTCCTTCGGGCTCTGCGGACCGGTGAATAGCAGCGTTGGAAGCACACTAGCGCAATCAATGAGGGCAGACTAGCAGAAGCCCAGACAACCCCGGCGTTGAGGCTGTACACGACCTAGACAACAAGAACACGGAGATCACAGCGATGCGCGACTGCTGGAACGGCTATCGTGAGAGGGGCAAAGGCTGCGGAGAGAGAGAGCGCCGCAGACGGTAGCGAAGTTGGAGACGAAAGGCTGCCAAGCCAAGGACAAGCCGACAAGGATGACGACTGGGCACACAAAGCGAACCGCCGCCTCTGCTCGGTATATCCGACCACGTCCTGGACCGACACATCAGACATCACGGATGCCGGCATGGCCAGTTGACACGCACCACGGCTGACCGTCAGGCGCCCACGATCCATGGGTGTCACTTGCAAATCACGCATCACGTTTTAGAAAACCACTCCCACTGACCCCACGAACGGCATCACCGTGGGCCCACTGCCAGCAGTTCGCCCAAGCTATGGGAATAAACGAAGCTGCTACAGTTACAACGCTCCTCGGACCCCACCGCTCCGCCACTCACGTTCGAGAGCTTACGCAAGCATTCTTGTTCCGCCGTGCGGCGCAGATACACAGTTGCCCATGCGCCCAAGGCCACTGCAGAAATCCCGCTGTTGCGACATTTATTCTCCTGCTGCCCAAGGGGTAATTGAGCGCGTGCTGCACGACGTCACACGTGTCATTCAAGTAAAAGCCTCATCCATGATGCTTTACACCGACATTTGCATTCTGAATTGAACATGAAGTAGTCTTCTCCACCTTCTCATCACGTCAACTGTCCAAGCCGTGGCGCCAAGAGCGGATATCTTGGGTGCACATGTGACCAGACTGGTGTATGCAAGACGCCACATGCATCGCCGCAGTCTCCAGTATTATCAATATCACCTTGACATCGCATCCATGCGAGTCCGCTACAGCTTGTTTCCTAGGTTGACATGGATAGCCTATTTATATGTTAGCTCGACCTGCATGAGAGTTAGCGTAACGTACCTTCTTGTTGGTGTATGCCTCGAGACCAGCCTCGCCCAGCTCTCTGCCAATACCAGACTGTTTCACACCCCCGAATGGAATACGGATATCGGAATCGTTGCTCGAGTTGATCCAGACCATGCCCGCTTCAATACGTCTGGCAACGCGATGAGCCTTGGTGATGTTCTCGGTGAAGACGGCTGCACCGAGACCGTATGTTGTGTCATTGGCACGGTTGATCGCCTCCTCCTCCTCCTTGAACGAGCTGATGACGACGAAAGGACCAAAGACTTCCTCGCGGTAAATCTTCATGTTGTCTTTGACGTTAGTGAAGATGGTAGGTGAGACGAAGAAGCCCTTGCCGCCAGCATTCTTGTACGCTTCTCCACCTGCGATGAGAGTGGCGCCCTCCGACTTGCCAGACTCGATGTACGACAAGACGCGGTCGAACTGCGTCTTGGTGACCTGCGGCCCCTGGAATGTGTCGTCTTTGAAGGGATCGCCAACCACAGAGGTGGTCTTCACGTGCTCCTTGAACGCCTCGACAAACTTGTCGTAGATGCCTTCTTGCACTAAAATTCTTGATGTCGCCGTGCAAACTTGACCCTGGTTATACCTACATGGTGTAAGCTCAGTCAGGAGAACAATGTAGATACGACTTACATGATGCCAACGTGACTCCATTTGACTGCTTGATCAAGGTCTGCGTCGTCAAAGACTACTAGAGGTGATTTACCACCTGTCTCAAGGGTGATATTCTTCATGTTGACAGCTGCCATCTTCATGATCTCCTTTCCTGTGGCTGTAGATCCAGTAAATGCAATCTTGTCGACGTCGAGATGTTGTGCCAGAGCTGCACCAGCTTTCCTTCCCTCGCCGTTGATGAAGTTGATGACACCAGGAGGGAAGCCAGCCTCCTTGACCAAGTTTCCGAGGTACAGGATAGAGAGGGGTGTTTGTTCAGCTGCCTTCAAGACTACTGTGTTACCAGTGCAAAGAGCAGGTCCTAGCTTCCACGCCGCCATTGCAAGAGGGAAGTTCCATGGAATAATCTGACCACAGACACCAAGAGGCTCACGGACTGTGTAAGCTAGCTTGAGGGGCGAGGTATCAATGACGGTGCCGTGGATCTTGTTGGCATATCCTGCATAGTACTTGATAGTGCCAACAACCTCACCTAAGTCGTCGTTCAGCGAGACAGAGTAAGGCTTGCCATTGTCCCATGTCTCGATGGTGGCTAGTGTTTCCTTGTGCTCTTCAATCAACTGGGCGAACTTGTAGAGAAGGTCAGCTCGGGCATTGGTGTCCATGTCTCGCCAGTCTGGGTTCTTGAACGCTTTCCGCGCTGCTGCTACGGCATCGTCCACATCCTCGGGTCCAGCGGCATAGACGGAGACGATCTCGCTCTCATCACTGTACCATGTTAGTCATAGCTACCAACCAAGACAGCAAGCGTACCTCGGGTTGATGGAAGTGATAGTCTCGCCCGACTTGGACTTGACGAATTCATTGTTGATGAAGAGACCTCTCGGCTGCTGGTACTTGCGGCCATTCGGCGCAGTAAGCTCAACGAAGAGGTCAGACATGTTGGTTTGAGTACTGTAGTGTCTCCACAAGGGACGGTAACAACTTCTAGGAGCTCTGCGTATGGAAGTTTGAAAGGGAACAGATGGTTTGGAGCGAAGTGAAGCGCGAGTGAGGGCGGAGTAGAGACAGGACATCTCCCTGACCGGCGAGGAGACAGCTAGCTATCTATAGGCTGCAGACATGTAGGACGCTGATGACGACCCGCGGGACAGCCGTAGCTTCCCTTGATAGTGTGGACCCCGCCATCGATGCCCGTACCTAGCTTATCCGCATGCAACTGCCCCTTTCAGACACCCGTCGTCCCAGTATCGGCCTCTCTCATCAACTTTATCAACCACGGCTATAGATGCGACACGTCCCCGAGGTCCACGGGCTGAATAGACGCGTGCCGTCATGTGAGTAGGCGAGGCGGGCTGGGCAGTCGTCGCGCGACGCGTCGGCGTCCAGAGTCGGCAACAGCCCTGTCGCTACCCCACCACCATCACGAGAAACTCGCGCGCGCATCCAACGACTTTCTTATTCCCGATCCTGCGCAAACCAACACTACCCACCGACTACACACCGGCCGCAATCCAACGTTTGTCACACAATGTCGCGAGGCAGCACCACAAAGATACAAACCCACTTACTCAGACTGCCGCAGACTCTCGCCGCGCTCCCTCTCGCCCTCGCAGACCCCACCGTAGACATGGTGGAAGAAGCGACGCTGCCCGTTACCCCCGAAGCCGAACGCCCGGATGCCTCGATAGACGTTGCCCACTCGCTCGAATACTGGAATAACGTCTCGCCAGACGTCAATGGCATGCTGGGCGGGTTTCCCCAAACTTCGCGCATCGATTTGCAGGGTTCTTCAAATTTCCTCACAAAATTGCGCCGGGGCAAGGCGCAAGGTTCTAAGGAGCCGCTGCCACCTCTGGAGCGTGTGGCAGACTGTGGCGCGGGCATCGGACGTATAACGAAAGGCTTGCTGTTGGGCGTCAGTAAACAAGTGGATATAGTAGAGCCAGTGAAGAAGTTCACAGATGAGCTGGTACAAAGCCTGGGGAACGGCGAGTACGCCGGAGACGGAGATGCAAAGTCTGGCAAGGGCCAGGTAGGAGAAGTCATAAACCTGGGGCTGCAGGACTGGATACCGGAGCCTGGCGCATACGATGTGATCTGGAACCAGTGGTGTGTCGGACACTTGACGGACGCCCAATTCGTCGTCTACATGCGGAGGTGTGGCGAAGGCTTAAAGAAGGCAGAGGGCGATGCGACAAGCCGGAGCTGGATTGTAGTCAAGGAGAACATGTCTACGGATATCCACCACAAGGACATCTACGACGATGAAGACTCGAGCGTTACGCGGTCAGATAAGACGTTCAGGGCTCTGTTCCAGGAAGCCGGACTGAAGATTGTGGCGACGGAGCAACAAAGAGGGATGCCGAGGGAGTTGTTCCCGGTCAGGATGTATGCGCTCAGACCTGAGTAGGCGTATGGACAGTCCTTCTGTTAGTGGGCTAGGGTGTCAGGCGCAGGAATCATGATACCCCAGGCGTCTTTATTAGAATGAACGCTATTACCATGCTTACACTCATCTCAATCCTTGGTATCAAAACTGCTGTACCCCTCATCGTGCCTCTACACCTCTCCAATCTCCGCAAACTTATGCGCAAACCCAAGCGAAAGCACCGGCACCCCGTCCACAGGTTCATGTACCGGCAACTTCCCCACCGTAACCTTCTTCCTCACTACCTTCGGTTTCGCAGCGTCCTTCTCTTCCGTTTCCGGTCCCCCAGACGTATCCATGACATCTTCAAACTCCTCTTCCTCCTCCTCTTCTTCCTCCTCATCGCCTTCCTCCCCTTCTTCTTCGCCGTCATCCGCACCCTGCGCGCCAGGATCCGGGTAACTAGCCGGATACTTCTGCCTGAGATACTTGATATCGAAAACCTCTTGATGCGCATGTTTCCAGAGATCCACAATCTCATCCGCGGAAAGCACGTTTTTTACGCGGGTAGTAGGGATAGCCTCAGAGTCTAGTCGTTCCGATTCAGGTACAGCGTCTTCGTCGTCTTCCTCTTCTGTGGCAGTGGTGGTGGGGTCTGGCTTGCGTGGTGCGATACCCCATTCTTCGGGTACAAAACACCATTCTGACGCTTTGCGGATTCGTTCTTCGACCCAGCCTTCCTCCATGGGCTCGAGCCTCTTTCGCAGTAACGTGCCTGCCATTCCTGCTGCCATACCGCCTCCGGCATTCATCGGGAAAGAGGGGTTGGGAAATGGATGGAGAGCTTCAAATTTCGCTGTGTTGGTTGGTAGAGCTTGTATGCTGGTCATTCTCCGTCGCACGTCGCGCTCAACGAGGACTGCATTGCCTGCGGCGTCGACCATAGGATTGCCGGCGGCATCTTTGGACGGGATATGGTGTTTTTGGGTGACGAGCTTAGATTGGTGGCGGTAGCCTCCGTTTATGAGCAGATGGATGGAGTTGAGGTAGGATGTTACTGTCCTGGTTGTTTGCTGGATTTGGGGCCTAGCATCTCGTCAGCACGTGTCTCGCTGGGTACGGTGATGGTCCTAGTTCCGCACTTCAAGGCTGGCTTGAGAAAGACATTATACACGGAGATATCTTATTGCGCGTAGCAAAGAAGTGAGACGCGAAGAGTTCAAACCAGACGACGCGTACGCGAGACCAAGCTGTATAACAAACACACCCGCATCCCAACGTGAACTCACTATCAGCCGCTCACTTACCAATCTACAACCTCGCCTCGACTCATCTTGTACTGCATCTCAGCCTGCAACCGTTCCATACCCTTGATCATCGGCATCAATTGACTGCGCAGCTGGTCCAACAGCCTGATGTCCTCCCGATCGGGCGCACCCTGGAAGTTTTGATTCATTTTGACCTGTGGTTCCCAGCTCTTGACTTTGACTTCCAACTCTTTTACACTGAGGATTGACCTAGGTTCGTGCGAATGCAGAGTGCTTGGAAGGGAACGAAAGCTGATGTGAAGATGTGGAGGTGCTTGAGGATGGTTGGAGTGATTGGTTGATGAATGCGGCTTTAGCACGTGGCGCTTGTAGGATTTGGGATTAGTGTGCTTGGCGTGCAAGGAAGCTTGGGCAAAGGACGACCTGTTTGCGTTCCTTCATCGGAGCATGTGCATTGGTACACACGCGGCTTCGCATCGTCTAGCTGAGTGCGGAATAAACAACATTGCATTACCGGTAATGACAGGCAAGTTTCTGGGAGCAAATCTGAATACATGGCAAAAGAAGCACCTGCCGCCCCGATGATCCCCTCCGTCCCTTCTCCACTCAGCTTCCAACCACCGCATTCACTCATCAAACCTTCTCTCCAATCACTGCAATGATGCTAGCGAAGCCTCCGTCGGGTGTAGGCTTGATAGAAAGCTTTCCCGAGGCGGAGTCCCAATCGGCCCTGTGTGTAGTGTCACTCTTATCCTTCGATCCATGCGCATTGATGCCAATGGGGATGCCGAAGAGACGAATACTTCCGCCACCGGATGCAGCGCTTGAGACCTGCTTGTCAAACTCCTTGATCGTGTTGCCGGAGAACTGAACTTCGAAGGCGAGGTTCGAGACGATGACGAACTGTACGACGCGAGCCAGGCCCTTGACTTCCTCCGGGGCGCCGCTCTTGAGCTTGTAGGCATCTTTGCCTCGGATGTCCCTGTATCTGGTAAGTAGCTGTCTAAGTAATGTGCTGAAAGGAAACGGAGGCAATGGGATACACGCACCATGAACCAGAGTTAACGTTGATCGCTCGGAACTGGTCGTCCCAAGACATAGTGAGGGTAGTCTTGAGTTGGTCCTCGTGAGTGAACATGGAGCTCTCTTTATTGTCCACGCTGGCGTTGACACCCAGTGAGATCCAGGGAACGTAGTCAACTGACACGCCACCGCCTCCACTGGTATGCGTGAAGCTCTTCTCGTCCACCTTGCTGCCTTTGTTGACGTCGATAGTTGCTTCACCGCGCGGCTTGTTCTCCTTCTTCGCCATGCTCAACCAATCTGCCACTTGCCCGGCGTACTCTGGGGCGGAGTACAGTGGGACGTAGTAGTCATGTTTGGGTGGTGCCACGACGCCGTCCTTCTCAAGTTGCCTCACAATGGCGTCGGCATCCTGAGCTCCAAGCGTCGTAACGGGCATGTTGGAGCTGAATGGGCTGTCAGGTCCTGAAGGTCTTACTGATACGTTATTCAACTCACCCTGGGGACGGTGTAACACCGTATATAGCGTCTCGAATTCGCTGCTTGTCCTGGATGTACGAGTTTGCCATGTCACCGAAGACATCTCGAGTAGCAGAGTCGAAAGCAGATACGGAGCTGTTGTACTTCGACTCTAGCGAGTTGAGCTGCTTTTGCTCACGGCTCTTCCAGGTGAACCATGTGTCACCCGGAACCATGAACTCTGGTTTCTCCTTGAGTTTGTCCCACGCTGCTTGTGCCTTCTCTGTTGCGGCATCAAATGCTTCTTTCGCTGACGTCTGGTTGAGCATTGCTGTGGCCAAGTTCAGCTTGTTAGTAGAAGTGGGTGCTTCGCCCTAATTCCTCATGTGAGTCTTCGTCTCTTTAATGCAGGCGATCTTAGTACTTACAAGGTCAACATGTTCCATGTATGCCAGGAGCGCACGAGAGTATGACTTCGACTTGGTAGGGGCGTAGAACAAGTTGTCGGTGTACAGTTGACTGTCGCCGATCTCGTAGATACCCATGTTGGCGTACATCGGATCGATCAGACTCGCCGGTCCAGCGGGTGGTCCACGCTGAGCTCTGGTGCTGAAGAAGTAGGATGTATGCTCGCCGGTCTTGTCTCCAAGTTGAGATTTGATGGCATCGCAGTATGCAAGCCAAAAAGACTTGTTGGCCTGGTCTTGAGCCATGATTGATAGAAAGATTTAGAGACTTGGAAAAGTGGGTGTATAGTAAGATATAAGGTACAGTGATGATTTGCTTTCGGTAATTTTGCTGTTTTCTTGTGATTACAATGGAACTATATATGTGATTGACGTTTGAGAGTTGGCCAAAGTAGACTAGTACCATTTTGTGCATACATTTTCAGGTCGCTGTAACGATGGTCTGTTCTGTCTACCTCCGCAGATTACGCAAAGGAGTCAAGAGGCTGGCTGAAGACGCAGCTCCTGTCTGATCTGTTGGCGCCACAATTACGAGAAGTCGCAGAGTCACACCGCGTAAGTACAGCGAGTATAGGACGTCGCATCGAGAGGCGCCGTTTCGACAGGCTGAGTTTGATTGCGTCGGTGGTGTATAGCTTCATGCAACCGGCCAGATCAAGAGCCTAAACTTCGAACATGTGACATATGTCCGAGTTTGATTAGCAATGGTGTGGGAGAGCTGGGCTTGAGCGAAGTCAGAAGGACGCGCTCTCTAGAAAAAGTTGCCACAAGTGCATTGACTTGAATCTGCAAATACTGTCAGAACCGGAATTGGCATGCGGTCCCAGCATTTGCATAGAACTTGTCTATTGCAAACATCCACGAGTCGGGAAAGAAAACATTGCGACTGGCTGCAAGCACCGATGAGACTGTCCAGTGTTCGCGCAATTGGCCCCCTCTTTTCTCGTGATGTGGACTTACAGTCCGGTGCTGTGACCTAGGTATGCTTCACAGCTTCGCGATCCATAGTTCCAAGGTTGTGGCGCATTTTGTTTTGATGGAATATAGCTGAGATCAGGTCTGTAGTGCTTTACATCGGTCCGCCCGAATGATACCCGCTATTCATTCCAATTAGCTATAAACCACTGGAAGATGCAGATTGAGAGATGGCCAGGAACGGTGCGTAATCTAATCAGCTTGGTCTGGCAAGATGGCTGAGCTGGGTAATGCGTGTGTGCTGCACGATGTCACCTTCGCACAGGACGGATACGCATTAGGCGATTCCTCGGCGGGTAAGGCTGAGCAAGCCTGCCTTGCGGATCATCGTCCGGACTGCAGGTGCGGATGTGATGAGCGGAGTGCAGGAACTAGCTTCCCCACTAGTGCATTAGTATCTCGAGAACCCCTCCAGCTTGAGGCCTCCTGCAAAATACACTACTACACGAGAATGACCAACGCAGGCTGTTGATTTCGAATTATTGCCATTTCAGCTGCGCCACATACTGCAGACGAGCATCACCCTCACCCCTCATCTGGTCTAGAACGGCGGCCGCGCTGCTAATGCTTCTCCTGTCGTTCGTGTCACTCAGCTGGCGATGTCCTCTGAATTCGTTCCACGCAGCGCTTTGCACGACTATGCATCACAGGCCGTATTCAGGCTCAGCTCGAAATGTGACCTCGAGATGTAGTCATGACTTGCATTGACTTGCATGCTCTACATAGATACTGCGTCAATATTTTCCTTCCTATCCCTTACTGAATGACCAGCGAATAGCTCAGCTTCAAGGCATGGACACTCAAGCTTTCGAGTTCCAAGATAACTTCTCCTTCTCACTTGTTGACGGCTTACCACGAAAACCTAGCGTGCAACCGTCGCGCTTTTGGAAGGCACTATCATACACCTTCCTACCCATCCTGGCCGGAGGGACTGGCAGCCTCGAAGATGAGGGGCAGGCAATGTTTGTGGCTGCGCAAGGCCAGCCTGGTATCCCGGAAGGAAGGACGCTACCTCAAGAAGTGACGAACTACCAAATCTTCATCAAGTCAGATGTAGTACAAACCATCAATCGCCCGTCATACTCCGCGTCTAATGGGCGATCGTACTTTGAGCTTGTCTACAGGTAACGCTTCACGTTCGCCTTCCATCTGTGCCGAGACTCACATCACGCAGGTACCTCCGTTATGCTACAGCTGTACGTCAGACTCGTCACTAAAGGCCGATACAACACCAGGGACAGCTACTGAAATGACTCAGGGTGCCGAGACCCCGGATATACGTAACGCTCGAGAGGCGTTATTTGACGCAGAAGCGAAGAAGGAAGTGGCGTGGAGAGCCGCCCTGCGCGACTATACGCCCACGGGCGCAACGTCTTTCGTGGATGCATTGAGTCACAACAAAGCGTATCTGGATGCATGGGAGATCGAGCAACAGCGGTATGACGAGTACAAATCTCTGCAAACACCGGAAATGGAAGACATGCTGAAGCAGCTCGATATCATGAAGTCTGCAAACGACCGACTGTTATACAAGAAGAGGTCTGTACTTGCCCTTCAAGTGTTTTCTATAAAACTTGGCTAACTTTTCGTTAGTAACACCATGCCTTGTATTGTTCTGAGCCAAGATCAAGTCGCATTACCAAAGCCCCTACAAGTAGATACCAAGGATATCTTTTACCGTCCCCAGCATTCCCTTAGCGACTATGAACGACAGTACACGGCGTGGCTCAGTCAATCCAAAAAGTTACATGGGCCTCACGATGTTCATTTGGCGGAGGTGGATACTCTAACGTGGGCAGGGCTTGGTCATCCAGACCTCGACCAAGCAAAGCCACTCGACATAAGCTCCAGTACAATGGGCCTATACAAGATAATCGGCATACAGCTGTGGTTCATAGGTGGTTCCACAGCTCCCGTAGCTCTCGATGTGGAAAGAGGACTGTGGAACCAAAGCTTTCGTGATCTGGGTAAGCTGTCTGAGGATGCGCCATCGTACTTGCGAGAACCAATTTGTAAAACGACAAAATTGCTTCTAGCTTGGGGTCTGCGCATGGAAATAACGTTTCCAGCTTTCGTGTCTGAGGCAGATCGCAGAAGTTTCATTGCGTCTTTGAGGTATTCATTCCAACAGGACGAGCAGAACAAGGACATGTACTTCAGTCAGACTGGCGCGGATACGTATCCAATATTGTTGGCTTCGCTCTCTGATATAGTTTAGTATGCGAAGTAGGCAATTTGAATAGTTCTTCTTTGAAACAGTCCTCCACTCTTTCAGATGCTGTGAATCAATCATCCATTCTACCGAAAAACTTCACTATTCAGTCACAATCCAATCCAGCTGATTAGCGCGCCATTGGAGTCGCCACCCATGTCAATGACAAGCAAGACATGTGATAAACCTACTCGATCGCCTAAATATGTGCCTTGGTCTAGACAAATGTCCATGTCGCACCAGAGCGGCATCATCCGCACTGTCGGCTGTCGTCACCAACATTGGTCTAGCGATACCATTCTTGCAATACTGTGGCTACCTGATGCCCGCACACCCTCAGGTTAGCACGAGGGTTGATGTCTGATCGCCGTAGTTCGATCAACCAGGAATGATGGCTGGCTGATACCTACAGAGGTCCAGCTGAAGGCTTCCGATTTGAAATTATCGTTGATACGGCCTTTTGCTGTTGGTGTGGGAGACGACGAGTCGCTAATACGGCCATGAGGAGCTATGTATCCGCCCGCTGGTGTAGACAGCCATTTGATCAACTAATACTATTTAATCGTCCAAATTCCCCAACTAGAATCCAACTCATCATTCCGAACATCTGTCTCCTCTAGCACTCACGGCACCCCACCACCCAACCCAACAAAATGAACGTCATCCACCAAACCAGACTCGAACACTACCACCGAATGGACTCAACACAGTACTGGCTCGAAACCCCCTGCCCGCCAATCGGCATCAACCAAAACCTCCGCGTCCGCATCTACAATCTCAGCGTACCCAACGGTATCCGAACGATAACGTACAGATGGTTCTCGCCCGCCATGGGTGCCGGAAAATCTGGATTCGGCTTACCCCTCCAGTGGTCAGCAGATGGCAGGGAGGTCATGGGCAACTGGCAACATGGAGGGGCGGTGGGATTCAATGGTAGAGGACCTTGGGAAGGTTTTGGCATTCGTGTAACTGCGACTACGGAAACTGGCGATCTTACGGCTGATGTGCAGATATTGGGACCCGAACAAGCAGGATGATAGGATAGGGTTGGAAGATGTGTATCGTCCTCTGGTGGAGGCCTTGCATCTAAATTGATACGTTTTTAGGCAGCGTTGACAGCGTCAGTGAGATATGAGATGTGATGCTTGGATGAGGTTCATTCTTCGTATTGATCAGCGACCGTGATTTCGTATCTACATAGCGCTTCATATCATATCGACATCCCTGGGTATTATTTCCACCAAACCACCCTTCACTTTCAATCCCTCCCGAATGTTGTCCAATGCCTGCATGTACCAACCCAGTCGAAGAAGATATTACATAGATGTGTGCGTGTCGTTGTCGTAATGATGCGTCCAGGCTTGCGCCGTTCTTTGTAGTTGTTGTTGTTGTAATGCTAAGCCGCCATTTTGCTATGCAAGCTGAGTGAAAGAAGAACAGAACGAGGGTATAAGGGAAAGTCAAACGCTTGAACGCAGCAGAACGCCAGTGAAACCCATAAATACAAGAAACTCATTATGAGTAGTAGTGAAGGAAATAGCCACCAGGGCTGTGAGAGCACAGCTCGGAAGAATTGAAGATGATGTTCAGACGCTGACGGTTCGTCGGACGCCTACCTCAGGCTTCTTCGCGTAGCCGATGAGGAGTTTGAAGCTAGTGCCGCGCTTCTCGCACTCGTTGATGAGGCTTGGGTCGCGCCAGATACTGGTCTCAAGGAGGTTACCGGAAGTAGCGGCACCAGGTTGGCCGGCCTCAGGTAGAACGAGCGACTCGTAACAACGTGAGTACCACCATCGACCTACGCGCGCCACCATATCGGTGATGCCATTGTCGTTTGACTCGGAGGATGAGGTGGCGTTGAGCAAATCGGAGAAGGATACTTCAGGCTTGGGTCCTTTTGGTGCAGGCATGTTGTTTGTCTTGCTAGAGGAGCTGGCTGTGCTGCCCTTCCTCTTCGTGATGTTCTGCTTGACGTCATCGAGGTTGGGTAGCTTGCCGGCAACCGGAACGCCGACAACGCAGCGATTGCACTCGACAAAACCCTTACGCCCGATGCCAGCCATGACTTCGTCGCTGATGTTGCGAAGCGAAATGCTTTCATCTGCTACTTGCATCCTCATCTTGAGCCCACGGACAGCGCGACGAGCACGGTTGCCCATGTTGACTAGGTCCATGTCAAGAACTGAAAACTCAAGGTAACCTCCAGGTCTAAGGACGCGCTTGGCTTCAGACAGGATGAAGCGGTGTTCGGATGAGGGAAGTGCAGTGGGGAAGCGAAGTACGACGCAGGCGAAGAAGTGCATGGGAAATGGGAAGGCCTTGCCGAGAGAGGGGTGGTAGATGTGACGGTGGTTGCTGAGTGTTGACAATGGCTCAGAAGCGCCCTCGGTTGATGCAGTGGGTGATGGATCGGGGCCCATATCGTAGACAGTCGCTTCAGGGTATGTGAGTGCGCAGTAGTAAGACCAGTCTTTGCCAAGACCATCGATGACAAGTACGCGATCCTCGCTCGGGTCTTTCAATTCAAAGTGCACGGGGCTGAACAAGACGCGTCCGAACGAGAGCCACTTGCTTGTCATAAGAGCGCCAAAGCGAAGGTTTGCCATCGACAAGAGCCCGTCCGCCTGGCTTTCTGCAATGTCCATCATACGCGTGTCGCGGTAATGGGTTGTACTGGCACTGTCGCGATCTTTGCTGGACCTTGAAGCAATGGTGGCTTTGGACTGTCGAGCACTCTGCGACAACGAGGCTGGGAGACTGGAGCGAGTTGAACGCTTTGTAGCAGTCCCAGCCGACAGCTGAGGACTGGAAGGTAAGCTCAGTCTGCCAGTAACAGGGTCAATGACGCTAATCTTGCGCTCGCCGTAGTCAGAGATGAACTCCGAAAAAGAGATCGACGAAGTAGGTGACTGTGTGGAGTGCAAAACAGCAAGTAGACGAGAGCGACGAAGATGAAGTGAGGGGTTCGCAACTTCATCGTTGTCTGATCCTGAAATGTTGCGCGGTGCTTTGGGTCTCAAAGGCATTGGCTCGAGAGAAGGGTGACTGCGAAGGCTGTTGTTGTCTTCCTTCGTGCGAGAGGTGACAGGCGAGAGCACCTGATCGATCAGGTCGTCATACTCGTTCCAAAGTTCATCGTCTGAGAGCGGCGCGCTAGGACTCGGTACGACAGCGGTACCAGCAGCAGGTGCAAAGCTCCAGATACCTGAGCTACTTGAGTAGGATACCTCAGAGTCTTTACGAGGTGGGAACTTGAAGAACTCGCTGCGACGGTTGGCCTCATCTTCCATAGGGCTAATAGTGGCGATAGCCGATCCGTGGGTCAGGGCAGTCAGGCCGTGGAGAATGGGATATGGCTCCACCGGACCAGCAGTTGCGACAACAGATCCAATGGAATCGAAAGACGTTCGTGGAGGAGCTGCTGGACGAGGTTGGTTCGACACAAAAGGACGAGAGAATGAACGTGAAGACGGGCGAGGTGCCTGACGACGACTAGAGACGACCTGAGGGATACGACCAACTTGCGCCAAGCGACTTGGTCGAGGGGGTGGGCTCGTAGGCGGCGGACCAGGCGATGGAAGATTCTGAGGAAGAACAAATTCTTCTTGTGCAGGTGCATCGTGAACTGACTCTTGCTCGGGCTCGGGCATGTGAGAGGGAACTGCTACATCCAGCGGCGGCGCAGAGCCTTCGTCGCGCATCGGCGAAGGTTCATGAAACGGTGATGAAGGTCGAGAGAGGTCCGTAACAGGAGTCAGGTCACCCAGCGAGTAACGCTCAGAGTTGCGAGAAACCGATCGAACATTCGTGTCGATACTCAATTTGCTTTGTTGCTGTTCTGGCTGTTGCTGTTGTGGTTCAGAGCGCAGAAAGACCTTGGGCGAAGCCGAGCGGGGTGCTGCCAGGGTAGATGGCAACACTGGTTTAGGCGGGAGCAGCATGGACTGCATTCGCTCTTTCCTTCCTGGTTCGTCGTCGGAGAGGGCGCTCTCAGTCCCTTCATCGACCTCCTGCATCAACTGCTCAATGTCGTCCAATTCAAGCCCGGACTGGTCCATCAACGCGTAGTGTGCGACGGAGCGAGAAACAGTTGCTTGGTTGGAAGGGCTGGCGGTAGGAGCAGCTGGTGTTGGGGCGCGTGGTCCGGCATGGGCACGTTGAAAGAAGTTCCATCTTTTTGAAGGCTTCGGCGCCTCCTTCTCGGCCTTGCCTTTCTTGGACGACTTCAACCAAGAGCCCTCTTTGATATCAGCGGCTGTCTCGCTTATCGAGTTCTTGCGGATCTTCCCAGTGATCCGGCTGTTCGATCCTGACGGTGTGCTAGGGCACTGTGCGCTTTGTAGAGCTCGTGACGTCCGTTTCGAGGCCATGGAGGGTAGGAAGGATCTCTTGGTATCGTCATCACTCTCGGAAGGTCTTCGCAATCCCATAGTCATCTTCTTCATCGGGGATCCATTGCGTGAACTGTCCGGCATAGCAGAAGGCAGCAATGTTGGTCGGTTCTTCTCAAGGGCTGATTGAGATGTGTTGCTCACTGTCTTGTTCAGTTCCAATCCATGACCAACTGAGACGTCTAGACTGCTAGTAGAGTGCATTGGTTCGGGGCTTCGAGACAGCTCCGAGCTGGTGCCGGTACCTCTGATGACGACAGGAGCGAGGCGATTGAGGAAGAAGTCATCCATCTCGCCGCTGGTCGTGCTAGTCATGCTGCTCTTGCGAGTTGAGGGGGTTTTGTCCAGGCTCTCAGAAGTAGTCCCGGCGCTGGCGGATCGGCCAATGCTGTTTGTACTGACTGAGCTTCCACTTCGACCTCTCACTGCGTATCTTCCATAGCCTTCGTGACCGGTGCCTGCAGCTGGCCCTCTTCTGTGAAGCTTGCTCTCAGATTTCGCTGTTGGGGTAGGCTCAGTCTTGGTACGACGCGTGAAGAACCCAAATCTAGAGGTTTTACTTGGGCTTGGAGCGGGCGCTGGTGCTGGTGCTGGTCCGGTGCTGGTCCGTCGTGGCTTTCGATCTTGCTGAACGTCGGGTGTCGGTCCACGAACTGGGGCTCTGGTAACTGCTGGCAATGTTGAAGAAGGATTGGGCGAGGGATTTCGGGAAGAAGGTTTGGCTGGAATGCTAATTTTAGATCTTCCAGCAGTAAGTCCATTCCTAGATTCCGATGAAGCGGTTCTTTTGTGCTGAGATGGGAAGTTGAGCATATTGCTCTGGATGATTGGGGATGGGCCACGGAGCCCCGATAATTCTGGTGTACCATCTCTGCTGGGTCTTGACGGTCGCCTTGATGTTGACATTGACGCGGGCGACTGATCGGCGAGATGAGCGAACTCCGGGGGCGCCTGCATGCGAGGTCGTTCTTCTGCTCTTGGAATCACATCAGACGTCCGAGGACTCTGTGGCAGAGTAGCGAGACCGTTAGGTGACTGGACGTCCTTGTGTTTCGCGCCATCAGTAACAACGGTGGATGCTGCTGATGATGATGAGGTGGAAGACTCTCTGACGGTGGAGAGTGTGTGGGGATGACGAGTGCTGACTTCGTCCGGAGTCTTGTGTCGGGTGACTGGCGGTCTGCTCTGCAGAGGGCTCGCCTGCCGTGTTCGATTCGAGGCTCTCGATAGCGTTGTACCGGGAGAGTAAGACGACATCGACGTAGGAGTTGATGAGACACTGAAAGGTCCAGGGGAATCCGTGTAGCGAGACGAAGGCGTCGCTGAGAGTGCATACTGCGGTGTTGGGAGAGGAAGTATGTCTGTAGGGCCGATCTCATAGTCGTAGAGTGGGTTACTGTAGGAATCGACCTGAGCCTCTGAACGAGCGAAGATGTTGGATGATGGCGGTATCGAAATTCCCAGAACTGTCTCAGAGAAAGGATCCTTGTATCCTCCGGGAATTCCCTCCATTAATTGCCTATCATCTTGGGATGAAATTGAGCCGTCTCTTATCCGCGTAACCTGCCTGCCAGTTGCAGACCCAACACTTGTTTGTTTCCTTCTGAGCACATTCGAACGAGGACTCTCGATGGTTGAGGCAGAAGAGCCTGAGGCGAGCGAGGGTGTGCGTATGCTTGGAGGAACTTCAAGCTTTGGTAACCGGGAAGTCGATGTTTGCTGTGAGGGTTTCGAGTTTGCGATACTCGGGTGTTGAGGGAACATAGGCGTAGACCGGCTGGTCTTCCTTTGACGCGAGCTAAGTGCTTGTGCGGGACCTTGTTGACTCGTCGAGACTTTGGCGTTCACTTCTTCGTCCTTTGAAGGCCTCCTCTTTTGCAGTTTAGATTGGCCTGGGGTGGGTAGTTGTGAGGTGGTTGTGGTAGGGGTGACAGATCGTTGAGGCAACCGAGTAGTTGGCGCCCGGTCCTCTGTCCTCTTTGGGGGAGGGTAGTGTGACTTATAGGAAGCCATTTCGGGTAACCTTGTGTAGCCCGGGTAGATGTGCAACGGAACCCTGTGTACGCCGAGAGATTCATGAAAGCATGTGCTTATCCACCTATGAGACCCTTGAAATCGAAGGCTTTGACGTGGGGTAACCTGACAGTCGAAGGTTTGGGACCGTCAGCAGTTTCAGCTCGGGAAGCCGTGATGTACGAGCGGCTGATGGCGGGAAGGCTAGAGTAACGGGACGGAGGTGGCGATTCGGAAATATTACAAAGACGTGAGTTTGCAAGTCCATGAATATAAGTCATCCAGCCACAAGGTACATGCAGTCCTACGTCCCCGTGCAGAGTTACGGTGAGTTGTTGCGACTCTTTCTCGTGTGCCACATCTATCGGCGGGACCGAGATCGTAGGGTGTGGCGCAGCGGCAAAGCCCGAGATGGGGCTGTGCAGGGATTCGCAGTTGGGACCAGGAAAATCGACAACGATGCGTACAAGGAGCAACGAGACGACGAGTGATATTATACTCGTGCTTTCAACGGCAACTCGCGCGTCCCGTCTATTCCTCCCTCAGGGTCGACTGTCCAAGCGCGGGGCTTGCACCCTAAGTCGCCTCAGTGGGGCTTTCGCGGGTGAGCCGTGTCGAGAACGGAGGACCAGTCCAGATGCTCAAACGAGGTAGGCCTGGCTGATGCGATAGTGTAGTGTTTCTGGCAGGCTCAACGTCGCAATCTGTTGGTTAGGAGCGATTCGACGCTTGTTGCGGTTGCGGGGTGCGTAGGCTTGCATATGTATAACGTCGCGACGGACGCATCACGACGCGTAGACTTGATCGCAAAGAACCGGCGCCGGCGGCCTTGCGAAGTTGGGCTTGTCCGGCACGGAGACATGGTGGGCTATTACGGGCGCTTGCGCTTGGATAGGCGGGTGGAGGCCTCTGGCTTGATGAAAGAAGGCAGCCAGTTGAGTTGCTGGATGGCCATGGTGGGTGACGATTCGTAGACAGACCTTGTGCGGCGCCAGCCAAGCGGAATGCCCAATTGGCTGTCAGGTTACCCCTACTCGTCGTTTACCCACCAACTTGATGCCGTTTCAGATACTCAGCAACCCTTACCAGAAGCCTCGTGTTTGCTATCAATTTTTCACGCTCGTCTCGTGACAGGGCTGGCATCATGAGAAGCTGAGGCTGCAAGCTTAGCGAGAGGCCTATATGTGCGCCCGTCAAGTCGCGACGATACTCGTTTGCAAAACTGCGCTTCCAGCTGCAATAGTATGCCTCCAACTATCCTCAGCTGTTCCAAAGCACGCGATGATCAGCCATCGAATACTCTATCGCACTCGAAAAGGACCGATACAGGCACTCGGAGCTCGCATGCACCTGTCTTGAACAGGACAGAGCGCACATTCGTTGAGAAGCCTTTTACCGTCGAGGGTTGTCTGACTGTTCAATCAGGACCCGCAGGGCAACAGGCGGCTTGCCCATGCAGAAGAGTCATATGCTGCTCTGAGCGATTTTCGCGAATGCACGTCCAACGGTTCCTGCAACTCTTGTTGCTATTCTCGTGACCACTTTCATGCATTGGCGAAAAATCCTGCAGATGCGCTTCTGGGGTTGTGGCATTATGCCGTCCAGCCGGAAGGCCCGTTTCTGGCAAGCTGAGATGTGGCTAAGTGCATCAACTCGGCTCTTAGTTTGAGGCTGAGCAGCCGATCGCCCTCGCCACTTTGACAACGCATCAAAAGCCTCGTAGGTCGCGAGCCATCAAGATCATTACAACTTGACCTTTCTCTACGATGGCGAAAATATCCTCTTCTGCTAATCGCAACGGTCTCATCCACGATTCGGGGGCAGGGCCGCTTTCTGTCGGCCATGTCCCACTGCCCAGGTCGCGCTTAATCCCACTACACCTGGTGATCCCTGTTCTGCACGCTCATTCGCACGCCATCAATGTGAGAAATGTGAGAAAAACGGGTAGCCACCGCACTTGACGGTCATGTGACGACGCCTTACTGAATAGAGAAGAGTCTGGTGAAGGACGACTGCCAATGAGAGATGGAATCCGGCTTTGAACGCTGTCACTTGCAGCGGCTACAAGCAGGGGGTTCATAGGCCTCATCCGCGCAAACCACCTACCCATCCATGATTGCAACACGAAGCTTGACCGATGTGATTTTCCGATGATCCTAATCAGCATAGATGCTGGTATCCTGTTCACTTCACCTGAAGGGTGGTCGTAGTGTTGTTGGTGGACCCAAAGGAGTATTGCACACCTCAACACATACGTCAGCATCGTCGAGTCTAGAACATCTGGCCAAAACTCATTCAGTGCCAGACATAGTTTGACGTTACTAGTTTCTGATGTCGCAATGCCTGACTTCTAGGTCCGTTCTAGTCACTTAGCCTGCTGGTTGCGATCCAAACACCAGCTCTTGATAGCCGCCGACTGATGAAAGATATGACATATTTCGGTGACAATCTGCGTTTGTAAGGCAGTTACCACTGCGGGCCCATCAGCCATGGTGACCCCGTCCAGGTTCATGCTCTGGCCGCACCCGTTAGTTGAATCGAGCAGAGAAGGTAAGGGAGGGCGGCACGGCGCGGTCACTTCAACCTCTGCGAATCATCTGGCGTAGGTACTGTATAGCCCTGTGAGCTGTGGTGGAGCTCGGCCCGCTGCGGTACCAATCTTAAGCAAGTCGTTGCGAAGTGACCGTGCGAGGGTGATGATGATTGTCTAGTGCGAAACTTAAAGATACTGGACTGGGCTGGTCGTTGAGCCGTTCGGAGACACTTGTGAGACCAAAAGGAAGTCGGCGAGTGTGGCTCTTAGTATTAACGCCTCGCAACGCTGCTAGTCGCCGTTCATCGGGCGTGTATCCTTTTGAAGTGTGTTGTGCGAAGTGAGGAGGCCGATCACACGGGTGAGTCCACACAGTTCGTTCGTATGCCCTATATCATCCTCAGAAAAGGCTCCGATGCCGGCGTTGACTCATTGCGTATCTTGTGTGTCTCTTGATCACGGAAGGTCTCTTGGAGAGCTGGAAGTCCGGGATGTGACGGGAACTTCCTTGGTCGTAATGTGAGCGATCGTAGGCACTGAGACAACGGCCAAGGATATGTCCTGTAGTACCATTCTCTGGTATGCGCGTGATGCGTCTCATGGGCTTTTTTTGTTTCCTTAGATCTCTTTTCTTTTTTCTAGAGTACGCTTCGACACA